TCGTCATTGGCATCATCGAGATGGTGCTCAAGCCGCCGTACTACATTGACGGCACGGTTAGCGGCGCGTCTGGCTTTACAGCGCTGCGCGCGTTCCGGGCCATCAAGATAGCACGCGCGTGGAAGTCGCTGACAAAGTTGCTCGTGTCCATCATGGCAGCGATGGGCGAGATCCTCAACTTTCTCTTCTTCCTCGTGCTCTTCCTCTACATCTTCGCGCTCCTCGGCATGGAAGTGTTTGCGACCAAGTTTCAATTTGACGCCAACAACTATCCCATGCCGTTCAACTCGACGTCGCCGTCGACGCAGCTGCATCGATCCAACTTCGACACGATTTTCTGGGCGTTCTTCACCGTCTTTCAAGTCATCACGTACGACATGGCTCGTCGATTCTCGCTATAGCTATATGCGACATGACATCATATCGTAGGTACGACGAGTACCCAAGCGTGATTTGGGACGGCTGGATCAGCGTCGGCGCGATCGCGCCCTTGTACTTTTCCGCCATCGTCGTCCTCGGCGTCTGGGTCGTCATGAACATGTTCTCGGCGATCCTTGTCGAGAGCGTCATGGTCGAGCCGCCAAAGGAGAGCGTATGTCATGACCTCCTCTCAAGACGACGACACGAAGCGATGATGGGATGCTGCGTAGATGACGACGACGTACAGCTCGGACGACAATGACCTCCATGGCATCGAGAACGACACCACGTCGGACGTCTCGCTTAGAGGACCGCCGGTGCCGACCCGACTGATGCGGCACGGCCAGGCCACGATGCTCCGACGCGTGCGTTTGGCGCTGCGCCGGCTCTTCCAGCTCCACGCGGCGATCGTGCCGACCGAACCGGTGCCGCCGGACGTTGGCGTGCTGCACCTTTTGCACGGGAAGAGTCTCTGCCTCTTTAGCCGGCGTCATCTTGTGCGCCGGACGTGCATCAAGGTGGTCGAAAGCCGCGCGTTCACCGTGGGCATGTCGCTTCTGATTGGCTTTTCGTGCATCCTCACGGCCATCGACTCGCCGCTCCTGGACCCGGATTCGGACGCCGGCCGCTTCATCAATACGTGCAACTATCTCTTTGCGATCCTCTTCTCGGCCGAGATGGCGCTCACCGTGGTCGCGAAAGGCTTGGTGTTTGGCGACGACGCGTACCTCAAGGACGGGTGGCGGCTCCTCGACGCGTTTATCGTCGTCGTCTCGCTCATTCCGCTCCTGATGCAAACGTCGTCTGCGGTCTCGAGCCTCCGCGCACTGCGGTCGCTTCGCGCGCTCCGGCCGCTCCGCGTCATCAACAAGTTGCCGCAGCTCAAGGTCGTCGTCAACACGCTCTTCCGGTGCCTTCCGGACATGGGCCGCACGTTTCTCTTCGTTGGCTTTATGCTCTACATCTTTGGCATCATGGCCACGATCCTCTTCAAGGGCGCGCTGCAGACGTGTTCGATCTCGCCCTACAACTACGGGTCGAATAGTGCACCGCCGCCGTGGTTTCCAGCCAACTACACGGGCTTCTTCACGTCGTCGGACCTTGCGACCTACGACATTATGACGTACCCGCGCCTCGTGGACGACATGCTGCCGGCCTCACAAGCCATTGCACTGCCCGTGTACGCGGCCTGCAACCTCTCGACGTCCATCCTTCCGACGTCCAAGCAAGTGTGTCAATGCTTCAACGCTACATGGGCCTTGTCAACGCCACAAGGGTAGCTGTCGACCCGCCCGTCCTTGTCGTGTTGAACGTTTTGTAGGTTTGATAACATTGTCTGGAGCGTCGGTGGCCTCTACGAGCTCACGACGCTCGAGGGCTGGACCGCCGTCGCGCTGGCGTGTATTGACGCGGTCGGGCCCGATATGCAGCCGATCGTCAACAACCAAGTGTGGGTCATGGCGTTCTGGTGGGTCTTTATCATCGTGTGCTGCTTCTTCGTCACCAACCTCTTCATCGCGGTCCTCTGCGACGCGTTCATGCGGGAGAACTACGGCACGCTCATCACGGAGGAGCAAATGCAGTGGATCAAGCTCCAGCGCCAAGTGCTCGCGATGCGGCCGCACGTCATCCCGCCGTCGCCACCGGCCTTGTGGCGCCGCGTCTGCTACGACATTGTGCAATACCCGTATTTCGAGCACGTCATTACGATCTGCATTCTACTCAACATGCTCGCGATGACGTCGCAAGCGTTTGGCCAATCTTCGAGCACGCTCTTTGCCTTCTCGCTCCTCAATTACATCTTCTCGGCCATCTTTGGGCTCGAAGCGGTCCTCAAGATCATCGCGTTTGGCGCGGCGTACTTTACCGACGGCTGGAACCGGTTCGACTTTACGATCGTTGTCTTTACCGCGGTCAGTTTGATCCTGCCGCTGTTCACGAGCGTCGACCTCGGGACCGCGTCGACGGTCGTCCGTGTCTTTCGTGTTGGCCGCGCGCTTCGGCTCATCAAGAAGGCCAAGATCATCCGCAATCTCTTTGATACGCTGACGGTAAGGCGTTGAAACATTGATAGTTTTGGGGTCTCACGAGGGGTAGGTGTCGCTGCCGGCCGTCGGCAACGTGACGTCGCTGCTCCTGCTGCTCTACTACATTTACGCGGCCGTCGGCGTCCAGCTCTTTGCCAAAGTCGGGGTACGTCCGTCCAAACTTCGATGAATTTTGAGTTTTATATTCGAATAGTTTGATGGGGATCTGATCAACCGGCGGCAGAACTTTCAGTCGTTCTGGATCACGTTCCAGATGCTGATTGGGTTCTCGACGGGTGAAAACTGGGACAAGTTTACGTGGGGGATTTACAACATGAACCCGACGACCAACCCGAGCTGCATGGATCGGTCGTTCAATGAGTCCATGTGTGGCTTCAACGACGTGCCGGGCTGCGTCCCCCTCGACGGCTGCGGCTCGTTTCTCATCGTGCCGTACATGTACTCGTTCTTCCTCGTCATTGGCTACATCGGGCTCAACGTCTTCTCCGGTATCGTGATTGATGCGCTCGATGGCGGCGTCGACTCGCCCATCAACCACAACACGCTGGCCGAGTTTACCGAAAAATGGGCGATGCTGGACCCGCACGGGTCGGGGCTCATCACTACGAACCAGCTCGCGGACTTTCTTATGGCGACGAGCCCACCCTTTGGCTTTCGGTCGATTCCCGGCATGAACCGCCGGCGCGTGCTCCACGCCATCGGTATGTTTCTCTATATCTATCCAGTTGATACTACACGGTGGGTAGGGCAACTGGACATTCACATCTACGACGGCCAATTTGTGCACTTCAAGGACGTGCCCCGGGCACTTGTCCAGCGTATTCTGAGCGAAGTATCCACGGTTATTGGTGGTCGTGTCGATAGTGACAATCGTGTAGGGCGACCGAAAGAAGCTCTCGGACATCCAGCAGCTCATGCGCACCATGGGCATCAACAAACAGTTCGACGACATGTGGTTCAGTCGGCGCGGCAAGGCCGAAGTCGCGCGCTTCAAGTCGTTCACCGCCGTCTCGGCCAGGCGCCACGTGGCCATGCTTGTGATTGCGCGCTTCATCTACCGGGTTCGCCGAGCCCGGGCGCTGGAGCGAGCGCGGACCGAGTTGGCCGACGCGCAGCGGTGCGTTGATACCTTGATACGATCAAAAAGTCGGCACACGATATGGCAGAGATAGGTGCCACACCATGACCGTGCTGCCGCGAGGGTCCTCAAACCGCCCGACCTTGACCAAGTGGGTGCCGCCCAGCTTGTAAGATTGGTAGGAACCTCCTGGTGACACAGGCGATTAATTTATGATTTTTCGAAATTTACTAACTTATTAAGAAGAGTCGCTGAAACGCTGCAGTCGTAAAACCGTCGCAACTAAGATGGGCTGGGAAGGCGCGACGGGCCACCTCTACATGACGGGCGACCTCGTCGACGACGGCGATCGCGTCAAGCGCCACATGCCCGTCCAAGGACGCAAGATCAAGGCTCTCCAAGGCGGCTACAACGCGTCGCTGGCGCTTGTCGACGGCTGGGACCTCGCGTGGGTGACACCCCCGGTACGTCGTCGCGGTCATAGCGCGGGATTTGAAGCCGCGTAGGTCTTTGAACTCGCCAAGCCGCAGCACGACGTCAAGATCCACATGCTCGCGTTCGGCGCCAAGCACACGCTTGGCCTCAGCCTCGACGGCCACCTCTACGCATGGGGCGCGGGCGACAGCGGCCAGCTCGGCCTCGGAGGCGCCATCACGAGCACCAAGTCGCCCCGCAAGCTGCGCGAGCTCCCGGGTCTTGCCTTCACGTCGGTGCGTGTACATTCGACCAAAAACGGAAGCGAGAGCAGTAGGCCGTAGATTGCCTGCGGCGGGTACCACTCGGCGGCCGTGACGTCCACGGGCGCGCTCTACACGTGGGGCCGCAACCTCGAGGGGCAGCTGGGGCACGCGTCGTCGCTCTTTAGCACGAGCGACAATGAAACTCAAAACGGCGTGTTTTTCCACCCCAAGCACGTGGACGCGTTTCTCAAGAAGCGCTGCAAGCACATCGCTTGCGGTGACAAGTTCTCCATCATTCTCACCGACGCTGGCGACGTCTATGCGTGCGGCGAAGGCCAAGTGGGTCAGCTCGGGCAAGGTACCGCCGCTTCGGTTCCGCAGTGTATTGGCAACTTCTACTAGGTCGGTGCACCAAGCAGTTTCTGCCTCTGCTCACGCTCCTCGGCGATAAGGCCGACCCGTTCGCGCAAGTGGCGTGCGGCTGGGCCCATGCGCTCGCGCTCACGGCGTCTGGTCGGCTCTTTGCGTGGGGCTTCAACCAGTACGGGCAGCTCGGGCTCGACGACACCAAATCGCGCTTTTTCCCCGAAGAGCTGCCAGGCCTCCTCTTCAAGCACGTCTATGCGGGTGGCAACTACGCGGCGGGCATCTCATGTACCATCCGTCGATGATCGTCGACTACGATCTGATTGGCGGGTAGCGGCCGGGCGACTGTATGCGTGGGGGAATGGCCGCCACGGCAAGCTCGGCCACGGCCACAACGAGAACGTCCCTCGTCCGCTCGTCGTCGACGCCGTCCAAGACACGTACGTTCAGTCGGTTGCGTGCGCGGCGCATCACATGATCTTTTTTGCCCCGTCGTGGGTATGTTGTGCCACATGGTCTTTTGTAAGCTAGCAAATGGATCGTAGGTTGAGCACATTCAGCCCACGTGTGGCGCCATGTCGGGTGGCACGCAGCTGCGCATCTTTGGCTCGGGCTTCTGGGCGACCGACGACTTGACCGTGCGCTTTGTACCGGTCACCGACGGCCGACTGGCGCGCGCCGCGCTTGCCTCGTACGACGCTGCGACCGGCACCGTACGTGGTGGACTCGCAACGTCGCACTAAATTCGACGACTCGGTCTCTAGATTGCGTGCGAGGTGCCTCGCTTCGGCGTCCCCGGCGACTTTGCCGTCGAAGTGGCCATGAACGGCAAGCATTTCACGTCCAACGGCGTGCTCTTCAAGGTGTTTGTGCCGCCAACGATCGTTTTTCTCTCGCACAAGGAGCTGCCGTTGCTCAACGAGACCAACGAGGTGGTGCGCGTGCATTTACGCGGCGAGCGGCCCAAAGCCGCCGACATCCCGGTTGTTCGATGGGTGCCTCTGGACAGTCGGTGGCCACCCGTTCTTGTCGAAGGCGTCTGTGGCGAGTTCGCATCCTGCTCTAAAAAAGTAAAGCGGTTGACCTATCGGTAGGATCCCCAAGGCTGAAAGCGCGGGGGACGACGACGCCGAGGCGCTGGAAAACAATGCCGACGACGACGACGACGACGACGAGCATGAAAAAATGTTCCAGCTCGCGTTTCCGTCGCCGTCGTTCCAAATGAATCGTTCGTTATATTCAATCATCGACAAGATGTCCATTTTAGGACACTGTAGAGTCCGAACTTGTTGCGTGCACGTCGTTCAACGGCGTCGACTTTAGCCCCGTGCGCATCCACGACCCACGACCCCTTCCACAGCGGTCTCCCGGACCCTGAGATCGTGTATTTACTTCTTGTCTTTTAGATGACAGATTGTCATCGCTTTCTTACAATGCCAACATATATATAGGCCGCCATTACCCGCGTGGTCCCCAACGGCATTGCGCTGCCCGGCGACAACGCGATGGCGATCGAGATCCGCATGCAGCAAATGTTTGACATTGGCCAACTCAAGTGCCGCATCCGGTTCGCCGAGCCCGAGACGCCGTCTGTCCTTTCTCGACCGAATGGTCTATTCTAACGCTGGTATAGGGATGCGCCGTACCGCATTGCGTCGACGAATCTGTCCATCGTGTCGTTTAGCGTCGACGACCAAGTGGTCCACGCTTCGATCCCGCCGTTTGCCGACTGGCGCGTTGACACAATCTCGCCGCATCGAGACGAGTCCGACGTCGACGACGAAGTAGGTGTTTGTCCGACAAAAATAGACAGTACGGATGCTGCATTAGACCAAGAGCAGTCCACCGTCCCGCGCGTGGTACCAGCCCGATGCCCAGTGGTTCACCACGACGGTGCAGGTGTCGCTCAACGGCGGCGCGACGTACTTGCCGCCCATCTCACCGGGCGTCGCCGACGTGGTGGCGTACACGCCGGGAACGTTGGAGACGATCACACCGACCTCGGGACCGCTCAGCGGCAGCACGCTTGTCACGTTGCGCTCGAATTACTTTCATTACGACACGAACGACGCGATGGTGTCGATCGAGTACAACGGCGACATTCAGTTCGTACCTGGCTTTGTCAAGACGCTCCCCGAGGTCTGCTCACTGGCTTGCACACGGTACTACTAGTGAGTCGTAGGCCACGGATCGAGCGCTGACTTTCGAGATGCCAACCTTTTTCGTGCCGCCGCCACTGCCCATCGAGAGCCCGCGCCCCGGGGCACCGGTCGTGTACCCGCCCGCCCCCATGCTGCCAAACGCGATCGTCAAAGTCGCACTCAACGGCGCAACGTACGCACACGAGTCGTCGGTGCCGTTTGAATTTTACTGTACATCGACTCTGCCCTCGGACCCCGATTCCTAGTTGGTTTTATGATGGCGTAGACAACCCCAAGGTCGTCACGGTCGAACCGAGCACGGTCTCGCCCGGCGTGGTGCTTCAGATGACGGGCGAGCTTTTCCGAACGGGTCCGCTCGCCAAGTACAAATTTACCAACGTCGACGGCTCGTTCTCGGCGGTGCACGCTTTCATCTGTATCCAAATCGATCTCTCATGCGACGTCCCCGCACAATAGGACGTCCAGCCGACGCTGGTGGACGAGAAGGGAGTCAAGCTGTACAAAGTCGAGATCCCGGCCTTGGGCAAGGCCGCAGAGGGCGAGCTTTGGTTCTACGTTGCGCTCAACGGTGTCCAGTACAGCACGAGCGATGCTGCCAAGGTCACCTACGTCGACCAGCCCGAGCCACCGACCAAGGACGACAAACGCAAGCACTGAGAAAACCATAAACACAATTGTCGTCAACACAACCGCTTGCAATTAGCTAAACATCAATACAGAACACGGTCACCGATCACCAACACAACTGGCCTCGACAACTGGTCTCGACGTCAGCACTTAGACGGTGGACTGGGCCGGGAGCTTGCCGGCGGCTTTGAGGTCCTTGACGACATCGCTGATCTTGACGCCGCCGTTGAGGCAGCCGCCGCAGTTGTGGAGCGCGATGACTGCGTGGTCGTTGGGACTGATGACCGGCGACCCGGACGACCCGCCCTCGGTGTCGACCATGTAGCCGACTTCGTTGGCGACGCAGCTGTTGATGTTGAGCGACTCGATCGTGCCCTGGGCGCCGCTGTCGAGGAGGTACCCGATGCGGCGCGGCTTGCCCGCGGGGTGCTGCGGGATGTAGATCTGTTCGCCGAGCTTGGGGCCAGACGCGCGCGCCTTGAGGAAGCCGTACTTGGCCAAGCTCACGCCCGACTTGAGGTTGAGCTTCACGAGCGTGTAGTCGAGGTTCTTGTTGGTACGGATGAAGGTCGCGCTCGTGGCGACGATGGTGCCGCGGCAAGCGAGCTGCTGCGTGTTGTTGGGGTCGCTGCACGTCGCGCACTCGGCGCCAAACTCAAACTGAACGTCCTTGGCCGCGGTGGCGGTGCCGATGCAATGGTTGTTGGTGATCAAGTGGCCCTCCGAGCCAAAGAGCCAACCGGTGCAGAGCGACGTGCCGCCAATGAGGAGCCGACCCACGGCCTGCGCCTTGGTGTACTGCGTCGGGAGCGAGCTCTTGACGCACACCGCGGCCTTGGTGTCGTCCTTGCCGCAGATGGCCTCGGTCGGGCGCGGCGGCACACCATACGCGAGGCCGTCGATGCGGAAGGCGTCGACACCGTCAAGGAGCGCAATGTCTTCGCGCGGCGGCGTGTACGAGAGCACGATCGAGCCGCCGGGAATGTACTCGGCGTAAAAGTTGTCGCGGTCCCCACCCGTGTACTTGACCGACGTCGCGCCATCGGGCGACGAGAGCGTGAGGACGGCACCATTCGGCAAGTTGAGCGAGTCAAAGTGCAGCGAGAGATACGACGCGGCGTCGCGCGAAATGACGGTGCGCAGCGGCACCGACCCGTTGGACGAGAGTTCGTACGGAGCCGTGCGACCGATCTCGTCGGCGCCCTGGAAGCACGTCTGGCCCGCGACGAGCGACGCCGCGAGGCCAACGAGCGCAGTGAGCTTGGCAAACGAAATCATAGTGATGCAGATGTGGCAAAAGGAAAAGTGAGGTACGAGTCGCTGGCCAAAGCGTCAGTACTAGTGGCCACACACTCACTCGTGGATCTGATGGCATCCATGGGCGGTTGAGCCAACACGAAGGCATCTGAGAACCGAACGCTGCGATGCTTGGAGAATGCACCTGAGAATCGTGCGGATTCGTACCCTTTGGCGCACAGCTAATCGCCGATGGCATCGGAGCCAACGCTCTCGCGCGACGTCTGCCGCACTCGATGAGCGACTGGGTCGGAACGAAATCCATCGTTCGAACTCGATACACAAGCTACTTTTACTTCAACACTCTACTGAAAGATGAATAGCGTGTATCACTGGGCTGGTCTCGAGCAGCTTAGCAGCGTTCGTTTGCCGTACGCGTAGGCGCAGTTGACAATGTTGACCGCATCCGGTACGGTGCTGATTTGGCGTACCTTGTCTGAGTCGGATACCTCAGTTATGAGATGTGCTCAGACAAACGTACTCAGATTGAAGCAGCCAAGGTGGGACTCTCAGGTCATTGGAAGGGTCACGCACCCACGAAATCATTGATCCGAGAAACATCATCTGATGGGATCTGGGAGTCCAGAACAATGTGATTTGGAACCGTGCAGAGCCAAAGACGACTACCGGTACTATGTGCACCTGGTCTTGGCAGACTCATGTGGCAGCAATTCACGTTTGGCTTGCACGTTGCATCGACCAACCATACTACCCGTTAACTTTGCACATTCAAACGATCATTTGCACGCAAGACCATAAAAACACGCAACGGCAAGGCGTTGAACCGTGCTACCGCGTGAACTCAGACACATGTCTGGTTTCACTTGTATCTGAGTAGTTTGCTCTGATAATCGTGGCCTGCGTGCATATGATGACACCGGCAGGTTCGACGCGCAACCAGCCTTGGGTTGTACAGGGCCTGGTACATGTACATGTACTTAGCTCAGAGGAACAGCCCAGTGACAACGGCCCACTTTGCATTTGCGAGTGATGGGTTGAACACAGATCCGTTGGTGGTCTGATTCACGCGGACTAAACACGACCCACATGTTCTCCTCGCTTCTGACCATACCGGTACATGTATCAGCTATATGTATCGTCTTGTGCTTCATGGCCCTCGCCCGCCCCACATTGCTCTTCCTAGCGCTCGCGCCACCAGCTAGTTCCTACGTAAAAGTAGCTTGTGTATCGAGTTCGAACGATGGATTTCGTTCCGACCCAGTCGCTCATCGAGTGCGGCAGACGTCGCGCGAGAGCGTTGGCTCCGATGCCATCGGCGATTAGCTGTGCGCCAAAGGGTACGAATCCGCACGATTCTCAGGTGCATTCTCCAAGCATCGCAGCGTTCGGTTCTCAGATGCCTTCGTGTTGGCTCAACCGCCCATGGATGCCATCAGATCCACGAGTGAGTGTGTGGCCACTAGTACTGACGCTTTGGCCAGCGACTCGT